GAAGAAATTCATGGTGGTGGATAATCCTCAGAAGTTTGCACTTTTCAAGGAGATGCGGAAAGATGGGCAAGGTGAGTCCGTGCCCTTGGAGCCGCCAGCTTTCCTGCAGCTGATCCGTTTGCTTACTGGTTTGTGTGACAGAAACATCACCAAAGCATTCATCTCGGAAGAAATTTTTTTTCCTGTGCGGGGGGTGAGGCAGTGGCCCAGGGTGCCCAGAGAAGCTGTGGATGCCCCATCCCTGGAGGGGTTCAAGGCCAGGCTGGATGAGGCTTTGGGCAACCTGGGCTAGTGGGAGGTGTCCCTGCCCGTGGCAGGGGGTGGCACTGGATGATCTCTAAGGTCCCTCCCAACCCAAACCACCCTGTGATTCTGTGACTCGGTGGGGTGTCAGGCAGCCAGTGCCTCAGTGTCATTGGCAGCGTCGCCCCCCGTAGGAGGTGATGCTGCCAATGGGGAATTACTGGCTTTCAGAGTGGGGCTGAAGCCACCTGAGACCTACCAGAGATGGTTACGGGTCTGTGTTAGGGACTCGGTTACTTCCACTACGATCTTGAGCTGCACAAACCACTTTCACATGCCCCAGTTGCCCTCTGGAGCTTTGCCCTGCCCTGGCAGCCCAGCTCTGACGGTGGCTGTGTGCTGTCCCCTTGCAGTGCTCTTCCAGAAGCTGCCCCTCACCGAGTTCCCCCTGTACCTCCGGCTGCTGGCGGGCCCCGACACGGATGTGCTCAGCTTCGTGCTGAAGGAAAACGAAACAGGGGAAGTGGAGGTATGTTGGTGACTCTCCCCCTTGTGCCATCCCTTGCAGTGGGAGCTGCTGAGTCAAGAGGGTTTCTGTTAAATCCTCAGGCTCAGGACTGGGATGGTCCTTTATTATCCTGTCTCACAACATGATGCTGTGAGATGAAGCTACTTGGAGATCAGATACATGTTTAAATGTCTTTTATTGTTCCCCTTCACAGATTCAGTGGGGAAAAAAAACCCCTCAAAAGCAATAAGGTGGATGGTATGTGCTTACTTTCCCTTTCCTACTGTTTTTGCAGTGGGACGCGTTCTCCATCCCAGAGCTACAGAACTTCTTGATGATTCTGGACAAAGAAGAAAAAGACAAAATCCAGCAAGTACAAAAGAAGTATGAGAAGTTTAAACAGAGACTGCAACAGACCTTGAAAGAAGCCAGGGGCAAGCCTGGATAACACCTCAGGAGGTGCTGGGCATCAGACTAAGCTAGAAACTGTTTTTAAATTGAAAAGACACTTCTCAGGACACCTTATCATTGTCACTCTCCCTCTTCATCCTCCCATTAAGGACTGACTCACAGCACCCATAAAATGAATATATTGCATTTTCTTCTTCCAAAACCTCTTATCCCAGGACCAGAGCCAGTCCAAGAACGGGAAGCCTGGTTTAAAACTGCGCCCATCACCAAGCCAAGCAGAGCTGCTGGTTCGCTTCTCAGCTGTACCATGCGATGGAGAACCTTCGTGGAAAATGATGAATGTTCAACCCAACAGGAACATCTACTGCCAAATGTTTTGAGCAGGGTAACACTTGCTCTTCCCACTCCTCCCAGCAACTTGCTTGTTCTTGTTCGGAGGTGCTGCAGCTCGTGGCGTGTGCCCACGTGGCCGAGTTCTCATTTCCTAAGTAGAGCACAGGAAGCAGCAGATAAGGCGGAGGGAGGAGGTGGTTGCACCAGCCCAGGTGGGTGTTGCAGCTGTAACCAATGCTGGACAGACTCGTTCAGGGCTGAGATAGCCAGGGAAATGCAAAGTTATGCCACCAAGGCAGCTGCAACACCCAAACAGTCTGTGAGTCAGTATTATTGAAACTTGGTAATGTTAATTCCAGGAAGTCATCCGTTTTGATTCTATTTAACTTCCAATTTTGAAAACAGATGTGAGTTAAAGTAAATACCCCTGATGCTTGGCTAAGTTAGCCAGTGTTTTACCAGTCTTGTACTCTGTACGGATTGGGAGCTATGTTTTAAGAAATTCTGTTTGAAAAGCGTAAAGATGCTGGTTGGGGCATAGGATGATGGTTTGATATTGAACGTTTAGCAATACATATCCAACAGACTAACCCAGGGAAGCTCAAAACCCCCTTTCAGAAGTCAGACCAGTTTTCAGCTCTGAACAGAACTGGCCCAGTGGGAGAGGAGCTCCAACCAGGGCCAGGGGTGGCAGCAGGAGCATGGGCTGCCTGTGCAGGAGAGCCTTGGCACTGGGAAGCGGAGGGGAACTATGAGCCTCAGATGCTTTCCCCCCACTGCTTCCTCCTGTGAACCCTCCTGGCTCTGCTGCCCCACCGCTCCTGTCCATGGCACGCCGTCCTCTCCCTCCCTGTGCTGCTCTGTGCGTGTCGTGTTCTCCCTCCCTCCCTCCCCACTCGCCATCGGTGCTCTGCCTGCGTGTCCAGGAAGGTTTCCAGGTTCTGCTCTCTACGTAGAGCTAGGAGAGGACCTAAGTCTCTCTCTTCCCTCTCTCAGGGCTCACTGTACATCTTATAAAAATCCTTGAGCTGGAGCATCAGTTTCTGCCATAAATAACTCTGCTCAGAGCCCCTGAGCCTGCTGACGCCAGGCAGTGATCCTTGAAGGGCAAAGCAGGCTCCAGGGATGCCAGTCAGAGAGAGGATGGTCCATCCCCGTGTTTACTCTTGGTGCTTTGTACCGAGCACGCTGCACAGCCAGGTTCAGTCTTCCCTCTGGTACACAGGACACCGCAACACAGCGTAAAGAGAAAACGGAATATGAATACTAGCTGGATTCAGACAGAGCATGGGAAAGGGTTTCCTATTGACCTGATGGACAGATGTCCCTTTGAGCTCGCTGTAGGCTGCTGTGACCCCACCTGCGTGATGTGGGAAGGGAGGAAACAGGTTATTGGGTAGCAGTCACCACAGAGACCATGTGGAAGAGTCCAAAATTTACCTCAGTGCCTTTTTTTTCCTTAAGTGTGAAAACATTGCATTTGGGCTAAGGAGGAAGAGGCTTTTGTCAAGAGGCCTTCTCAGTCCTGTCCCCATAATTACCTAAAGTACTGTTGCGATGAGGCTGCTTTTGTCCCTAGAGGGACCAGGAACTGTTTTGTTTCTTTCTTGAAGGTGACTGCTTGGGATTAATTTTTATTTTTTTTACCCCCAGGTTTATACTTGAGTATGTTTGTTTATAAACAGTAAGAGAGTACCCGCATCACTTCAAGCCCCTCGGCTGTATAAGTGCCCCTTTCTGCAAGCTTCCTCCCAGCTCCTGTCTTAGTCAGTAGTGTAGAAGGGTTTGCTATCAGGGCTCTGGCACGCGGTGCAGGAAGGGCCTCCCAGCTGTACTGTACTCTACACCCAGATGACCTTTAACAACATGGCCACAGCCCAAACAGAGCAGGAATTTTCATGCTCTGGGGCTGTTTGTCCATTTACAATACTTATTACTTCACTATGCACTTGTGAAGTAACTTAAATAACATTTACCTAGCGCTTTGAGTCTCGAAAGCACTGTATAAATACTTCTGTTCAGTCAAGAGGAAGAACACTGTAAAAACTGCCATTGGTTCTGAGAAGTAAGATCCAGACGCTTGTTTTTAAATCCCTTACCTTTCTGGCTAAGAGTTGTAAAGGTTTCTTTTTGCTGTTGTTTTCTACTAGAGTTTTGGTGGCTGTCTCCCTCTCCCTTTGCAGAACCCAGCATGTCTTTGACACTTTGTAGAAGGCATGGCTTCTTATGCAATTACCGTGAATGCTGCTGAAAACCTCCTGCAAAGAGGAGGGCTGTTTCTTTTGGTTTTTCAAGATATGGGGCATTTGAAGGATTGGTAGATCTTGGAACTCGAATTCTCAAGGGTCAGTTGAGCTGTGTCTAAGATAGAAGCATTGGCCCCATCCTTAAGTGCAAAATACTGTTGGCAGTGCCTTTGGTTAGTATGTTGTCTTGCCTAGTTTGTGTGAATTTATTTTTCCTGTCTATTGTAAAACATGTAAAATAATGTGTATAGAATGGAATAGTAGAGCTTCTATGGCAAAGTGAAATGCATTTTTGCAATGCTGTAATTTATTTTTACTACTCCCTAGTAATTCTATGGCATTTTTAAAAAATGTCTCACTTCCAGCTTTTTTGAAGGTTTTGAAACTACTTGTGCATATGCAGACAGTGTAAAAGAAAACAATAATAAAACTGTCAGTAATTAAAGAAATCTCTTTAGCTTCTTTTTCTTGCGCCCTCCTATGGAACTTTCATGTATTAAGTCTAAAGGGAAAATACAGGAATCGTTCCTCTGAGTTAATTTAAGCTTTGTAACCCTATTGTAAAGTGTTTCTTTACTTCAGCTTGAAGAGGTGCAGAACATCCACTCCTCTGAAACCAGACCCAAGTGTTCCATTAATCTTCTCTAAATATTTTATCTGGATTTGACAGAACTACTACCTGTGTCTACCTGTGATAAATTACAGTTAATATCATACATGAACATGTATTTATAGATATAAAAATAATATAAACCATAAAACCCAGCTAATAAGAGTTCATTCGCAGTGCTGAAATGTCTGATATTAATACTTGGAAATGTTTAAAAGGATAAAATCAGAAACCAAATGGGTTTTACTCCCGACAGACACAGTCTGTGGCACAACACACCGGTCTGTTCCAGGACAATGTGTTGGAATGTACTTTGCTTACACTTCAGCAGAGGTTCTGTTACCAAGCCTTTGCTAAAAGATGCAAGAATGTTAAACTAGCCAAAAGCCACTGTAGCCAGAAAACCAGTGCACCATTAGGAACTTCTAGAAAACAGATAGAAAAGGATAATGCTAGGGGTTTTATTCAGCTTTTTATTTTTATGAAAAATGAACATCTGGAGCAATATTATTATTTGGGTGAACCCTAGACCTTGCAAACACCCAGGACTCGTTCTGAATGAATAGGGCCTGTACGTTATCCTGGATTTGGTGGCAGAACACTTGTATAAATAATGAGATCTGAGTAATTCTTATAGTAGATTTTTCTCCTACTTCTTCCGGCCAAGCTTTGGAGCCTTCTCAAGGCCTTGAATATATTTCCGAGGTAGCTGGTATTCTTCTGCAACATAACCAAGAATTCACTTCAGGTAAATATTCAGAGCTCAAGAATTAAAATCTGTATCTTGCTGTAACCAGTCCTGGCCCAGTTCCAGTATCGACTTACCTAGCAGCATCTTTGCCAGATGTTGGATTTGGTTGCCTTGGATCTGGACCTGAACTCTGTCTTTTGTTCCTGGTACTGGGGTGATGCTGGCACTGGCTTGTACTTTTTGTTGCAGAACATTGGCCACATACTGTGGGTCTAGACCATACAGCTCGAGGTTCTTGACAATCGTCACCTACAGGTTTTAATAATTAGTGCAAACATCACTGCTGTAGGTATTAGCAAGTCATGTCTCATTCATCCCAGAAAAACGAGCTGCCAAAGCTGCTCTCAGAATCTGGGCTTCTGCTCACAACCCCTAATTTTATTTCTCTTTTTACCTTCTTATTTGATGATCTCTGTGCTATGGTTATGTTGATGGGCTCAATGTTTCCTTTCCTCACAATAGGTTCTTGTCCAAAAAACGTCACCTGGTGTAAGGGCTGCAGTCGTTCAAGGCACCTGAACAAAGTTTAAGCATCCAATTAGTCTATACAGTACAGAAAGGCTGATATTAGCTGTGCTTTTCCACTGCAGCTTCTCACAGGTTTTTGAGACTCCATGAAAGCCAAGATTCTACATGTGAGAAGAATCTGTACCTTAAGAAGATAATGCATGATGATCTCATGCAAAGACTTGCATCCTAGCTGTTATTTAAAGAAAGGGACTAACCAAAAAGAAAGCAACTGACTAAAAAGAAAGCTAGTCTACTGGCTCGCAAAAATTATAGCTTAGACTGTTACTGGTAAAATTATATAAATGGATTCTTGTAGAGGAACACCTTCTTTAATAATTGTGTCTTTAAGTGATTGTTCAGTTGTATTGTTCACAGATAGGTGAAGCAACTTCAGTTAAAAATTCAGCATAAACTGTGTTGCTGTCCCATGAGCAAACCTAGCTTCAGAAAGAAAGGAAACTGCTGCAGGTGCCTCAGAGGCATTGCGTGATGACGAAGATCAAGGCAAGTAAGACACTGGGGGGATTTAGTCAGTTTTTCAGTATATGGAAATGACAGTCTTGTGTCAGACACCCGGGCCTCTTGGATCTAAAAGGTGGGTTTAGGTTGTAAAGGTAGAAGTTGTGCTGCACATGAGGAGCATGAGGACTACCATTGCTTCAGCTATCTGTTGCAAAGGATGGCTTTGTAAATACCTACGCACAGATTACCCACAGAACCAGGCACTGTTTGTTTAGGAAGCTTTCCCCGGTAAGTGGTTAGCAGGTAAACTAAAAACCCTAACAACAGGTAATCCTGGATGCTTGTTAAATGGGGAACAATGAGATCCTTCAAGAGAAGGTCTCTGGATATTCTTGGTTGTATTACCAGTAGGAAGTTATAACTTAGGTAGCTCCAGTAACACCTGGCTTTGAGTTGCTTGCAATAAACCTGTGTGATACTGAGACACTGCATTAGTCACCTGCTCAGGAGGTCATCCCATTTAAGGTGTGAGATTTCATCTTGTTCTGATTTATCTAACAGGCAGTCGCACAGAATGGCATTCACCTTTACAAAGCTACAAAACAAAAACATGCATTAGAAGCAAACAAGTTCACCTTTTTCCTCTAACTTCAGCATCTCCTATGGAAGCAGGGCAGGACAACTTCCATGTCTACTTACTTCTTGTTTGTTTCATCAACCAACTCGTTAGTCTTCACATAGTTAATGATGATGTTTCTCACCTCACTGCTTGAGAGGATGCTGCCTTTTCTAAAGAGAAAGAAAACTTTTGAAGTAGTGAGATGTTGGGTTCTGTCACTAAGACAGAAGACAGCAACTGCCCTGGCTACACCTGGTAGCAACAGCTCAATATTGAAATATATCTGCTAGGGAGTGATTTCTTGTTACACCTCGACTGCTGTATACCAGATAAAAGGCTCACAGCAGTAATTAGAGACTCTAAACCCCTTGGTTCCGGGAGCCTAGTTTGGGAGGACGAGCCCAATGGCACCCCTAATTTCAGGAGACTGTGGATAACTTGTACAAAAGTGCTCAGCTGAAGAAAGGCTGCCACTGGGTGCTGCCTAAACCACATCAAACCAGATGAGATTAGGGCACAAGAAGGCAAGTGGGTTCTTTTAAGCAATCTGGGCATCCTCTTTTCAGTAAAACTTACTGTGGGTGGGCAGAATATGCCTTACCCAATAGCAAATTAAGACAATCCAAGTAAAAATTCATCAATTTTGACACCTGAGCTATCACCTCCCTAGCTGTGGGTGAAGTGATGGGAGTACTTGCTGAATGCAGTTGTCACAGGCTCTTATCTTTCTTCCCTTTGTGAAGCAATGAATGTATTCCTGGTTCCCATCACCTCTCCTGACAGCCTGCCAGGGCCCTCCCCATGATGGCTAACAAAACAGTAGCAGCACAGGTTTGTTAGTCTCTCTCTTAATGTAACGATGGTTTTGTTGTACTTTTCTAGTGCTTACTTGTGTCCAGATTCCTGAAAGAGTGGGATCATTTTTGCTGAGACCCCATAAAGCGGAATGATTTCAGGAGCACGGTACACTTGTTCTCGGTCTTCACTCTTGCTGTCTTGGGCAGCAGAAGCTGATGAAAATCCTTCGGGTACTGCAAATGCTTTAATCCTGAAACAAGAATTATTTGTTGAGAGTGAAAAGGGATTGAAACTTATCCCTTCCATTTCACTGAGAAACTAAAACCTAGCAGAGTCACACAAAAAGCTTTCTGGTCTGTTGTATAATGTGTCAGTTCCTCCAAATGATTCCACTGCAGTGGGGGCCTCTGTCTGTGGATTAAAGGACACGATGAAAGAACAGTATTTTGAAGCACTAGCTGCAAACACTAAATTTGTCCTTGTCCATGTTTCAAAGATACACATAGATAAGCACCTTAACTCAGCTGATATTAAACACTCCTCACTCTGAATAAAGCTCTATATGTTGGAGAAAAAGTAAATCTCTCCAGCTACTCTAAGCATTTTGACTGTTGTAATTAGAGACACCTGCCATAATTCAAAGGGTGCAGCCTTGTTCCACAGAATTACTAGAACTAAATTAAAAAAAAACCCCTAACTGCACTCTCCACAAATGCATAGGCATTTAAAAGCTGAAATGATTCTTAGGTGGTCACTGATAAAAAACAGCTCTGGAAGAGGGGGATAAGAAACTTATCAGTGCAGGAGCTAGAGTCTCATTTCATTGACCAGAGCTGCAGATTCTGTGCTTGCAGGTAAGAGAATTGACAAACTGAGTACCCCTGTCTCCTAATGATAAGGCAAAGTGTAATGAGAGAAAAGTTAATGCAAAAAGCAAAGTAATTCTGCTTCTTTCCAAACACAGAAGAGAAGATATGCTTATATCTACAGAAATATTCTCCAGCCCATTAGTTGCCAAGGAGATGTTACAAAACAGGAAGCCTCAGGCCCACTGGGAAATTCCAGGAGAGAGCTAATGTGCTGATATGCAGAAGGAACGGGGAGGATGTTCTTGATGTGAGATAACTATTAATCCTTAGAAAGATAAAGGATAGACTGATAGAGGAATGGGGTAATAGGTAACTGAAAGGATAAGAGTATTTGTGCAAATCAATATGTGTAATGGAAAACAGCAGTTTTAAAAAAATTTTTGGGGGATACCTTTGGCTTCTGATTTTGCAAAGTGCTTGATTTGATCCTGTATGACATTCAGAGACTGTAGTTTCATGAGTATTTATTCAGCAACAGTGTCATCTGTTTATTGCAGTTATTGTTTAGATTGGTAAGTTCACTTCAAAGCTGAACAATGAGTTGTCCCAGCACACAGATGGAATGGGGAGGGAGAGCCCTGCTTAAACTGGAAGGACATAAACCAGTCCTACCGTACCCCTCATAGCATATTAAGATTAGGAAATGAGGGCTGCTTCAGCTATTGAGAACAGGAATTCAAGCAGAATATTCCCTTCTTTCAGACTACCAAGTCTTTTTTAAAGAGACTACAATATTCTACATACTCTGGATGTTTCCAGTCCACTTCCACGATGCTCTCCACACCTTTGTTCAGCTCCTTCACTTGTAAGATCTTCTGCTGCTGCATACATTGCAGGAATTTAGAGAACTGAAGGAAGCAACAATCAGAAACGTAGAGTCAAGCATTTTAAATTCCTATTTCTGACTGCCCAAAAGTTACTTGCTAAAACAGAGAATTTTATTTTTAAAAAAAACCCCACACCCCCTCTTCTCTAAAGGCAGCAATTGCGAAGGAGCAGTGAGTGCCTCTGGCTCTGAAACAGAGTAAGGAAGTGTTCCTTTTGAAGGTCTGCCATCTGTTTGCTCCGTGACATTCTTACCCAATTCACAGTATATCTCACATGGACTACTGTGAGATCTTTGGCAATGCACTGTGTATTTGCTTGTCATCTACACAACAGGGATAATATCTTCTTTCTCTTCACTTTTGTTCATTAACAGCTTTAGAAAAGGAATGGCCTCTTGCAAGTAATTCCACTGTTCAACAAGATCAGAACACTTGAACTGCTACGGCAGAATATAGTGGCAGGTAGCACTAGCTGCATTCAAAGCAGATCAATGCTCACGCTTTCAGGACAATTACTTTTCTCCCTGGATCCCAGAGGAGCAGAGAGTTGAGCAAAAGAACTTGATGTTTAAGAACAGCTTCTAGGGGGTTTTTTGTTTGCTTGCTTGTTTTACTAACACTAGAACAATTTCTACCTCAAACTTTTTCTCTCCTTCTATTTCTTATTTAAATTAATGCAAAAAAAAAGACAAAAATCTCACCTTCTTGTAGCTTGATTTCTTTATGTCCAGTTGTTGTCCAGCAGGGCTGTAAATAGATTTTTTTTAAAGTTTTTTAGTTATAAGTCACCCTTTATTTCTTCTTAAATCTTGCTACTTATGCTCACACAGAGAAAGAATTACATCAAACAAGCTGATAAATAGAACATGTAGAGAAACTAGTGCCGATGTTCCCGTGGGTAGGCAAAGAGCCATTTAGGTGACTAAGCAATCTCGAAACAGATGTCAGCCAACTCAAGTTAGTTACCAAGTCCATATCCTGGTCAGAATAATCCTTACGTCACAGTGTTTGATGTAAGAAGTGAGCATAATCTTAGATAACCTTAGAAAAGGACTGAATTTTCCTTCTGAGTCAAAAACTTCATCCTAAATATTACACTCAACCTCCACAGTTTGAAAGACAAGAATCCAGCATGCAAATCCAAAGATGATCTTCTTACCACATACCAGCATGAGAACATATGGCTGCGTAGAAATGTACTGGTGAGCAGAGGGAGATCTGACTTCTTTACTTTGCATTTTAAGGCATGAAAAAAGCACTGATTGAATAATGCATCCATTTGCTCTACAGGGAAAAAAAAAGGACAAGTAAGCTGTGAGTGTTCTGTCTTTCAGAACACAGCACTCGCTTCTTTCAGACTGTCTCAGACCCCACAGAACCGTCTCTCCCTCAATTCTCACAGTGAGCTGCCTCAAATGCACAGTAATCTAGATCATGGGTATGGGCTTCAGCAAACCAAAGGGGCATAGGTTGGTTTCATCTGTACACAAAAA